CAAGCTACCAATGACCTTCTTCACAGAACTGGAAAAAAACACCTTAAACTTCATATGGAACCAAAAGAGAGCCCGCATAGCCAAGTCAATTCTAAGCAAAAAGAACAAAGCGGGAGGCATCACACTACCAGACTTCAAACTATACTACAGGGCTACAGTAATCAAAACAGCATGGTACTGGTACCAAAACAGAGATATAGACCAATGGAACAGAACAGAGGCCTTGCAGGCAACACAACATATCTACAACCATCCGATCTTTGACAAACCTGAAAAAAACAAGCAATGGGGAAAGGATTCCCTGTTTAATAAATGGTGTTGGGAAAACTGGCTAGCCATGTGCAGAAAGCAGAAACTGGACCCCTTCCTGAGGCCTCACACTAAAATTAACTCCAGATGGATTAAAGACTTAAACATAAGACCTAACACCATAAAAACCCTAGAAGAAAATCTAGGCAAAACCATTCAGGACATAGGCGTAGGCAAGGACTTCATGACCAAAACACCAAAATCATTGGCAACGAAAGCCAAAATAGACAAATGGGACCTAATCAAACTCCACAGCTTCTGCACAGCAAAAGAAACAGTCATTAGAGTGAATCGGCAACCAACAGAATGGGAAAAAATTTTTGCAGTCTACCCATCTGACAAAGGGCTGATATCCAGAATTTACAAAGAACTAAAACAGATCTACAAGAAAAAAACAAACAAGCCCATTCAAAAGTGGGTGAAGGATATGAACAGACACTTTACAAAAGAAGATATATGAGGCCAACAAACATATGAAAAAATGCTCATCATGACTGGTCATTAGAGAAATGCAAATCAAAACTACATTGAGATACCATCTCATGCCAGTTAGAATGGCGATCATTAAAAAATCTAGAGACAACAGATGCTGGAGAGGATGTGGAGAAACAGGAACACTTTTACACTTTGGTGGGAGTGTAAATTAGTTCAACCATTGTGGAAGACAGTGTGGCGATTCCTTAAGGACCTAGAAATAGAAATTCTATTTGACCCAGCAATCCCATTACTGGGTATATATCCAAAGGATTATAAATCATTCTACTATAAGGACACATGCACACGAATGTTCATTGCAGCACTGTTTACAATAGCAAAGACTTGGAACCAACCCAAATGCCCATCGATGATAGACTGGACATGGAAAAGTGGTACATATACACCATGGAATATTATGCAGCCATCAAAAATGATGAGTTCATGTCCTTTGTAGGGACATGGATGAACCTGGAAACCATCATTCTCAGCAAACTGACACAAGAGCAGAAAATCAAACACCACATGTTTTCACTCATAGGCAGCTGTTGAACAATGAGAACACATGGACACAGGGAGGGGAGCACTACACACTGGGGTCTGTTGGGGGGAAATGGGGGAGGGACGGGGCTGGGGAGATGGGGAGAGATAGCATGGGGAGAAATGCCAGATATAGGTGAAGGGGAGGAAGGCAGCAAATCACACTGCCATGTATGTACCTATGCAACAATCTTGCATGTTCTTCACATGTACCCCAAAACCTAAAATGCAATTTTAAAAAATGCAGAAGATAAATGAAACAAAAACTGGTTCTTTGAAAAGATAAATATAATTGATAGACCATTAGCAAGATTAACCAAGAAAAGAAGGGAGAAAATCCAAATAAGCTCAATTAGAATCGAACTGGGAGACATTACAACTGGCACCAAAAATCCAAAAGAAATCCAAAAGATCATTCAAGGTTACTATGAACACCTTTATTCACATAAACTAGAAAACCTAAAGGAGATGGATAAATTCCTGAAAAGATACAACCTTCCTAACTTAAATCAGGAAGAATTAGATACTCTGAATAGACTAATAACAAGCAGTGAGATTGAAATGGTGATTTAAAAACTACCAATAAAAAAATGTCCAGGACCAGATGGATTCACAGCAGAATTCTACCAGACATTCAAAGAATTGGTACCAATCCTATTGACACTATTCCACAAGATAGAGTAAGAGAGCACCTTCCCTGAATCATTCTATGAAACCAGTATCACTCTAATACCAAAACCAAGAAAGAACACAACCAAAAGAGAAAACTACAGACCAATATCTGTAATGTACATAGATGTTAAAATCCTTAACAAAATACTAGCTAACCAAATCCAACAACATATGAAAAAGATAATCCACCATGATCAACTGGGTTTCATACAACAAGGGATGCAAGAATGGGTTTAACATACACAAGTCAATAAATGTGATACACCATATAAACAGAATCAAAAACGGGCCAGGCACGATGGCTCACACCTGTAATCCCAGCACTTTGGGAGGCTGAGCTGGGTGGATCACTTGAGGTCAGAAGTTCAAGACCAGCTTGGCCAACATGGTGAAACCCTGTCTCTAATAAAAATATACAAATTAGCTGAATGTAGTGGTGGGCACCTGCAGTCCCAGCTACTCAGGAGGCTGAGACAGGAGAATTGCTTCAACCTGGGAGATACAGGTTGCAATGAGCCGCAATGGCACCACTGCACTCCAGCCTGGGCAAAAAGAGTGAGACCCTGCCTAAAAAAAAAAAAAAAAAAAAAAAAAAAAACACCAAAAAAACAAAAATCTCAGAATCATCTTAATGGATACAGAAAATGCATTTGACAAAATTCGACATTGCTTTATCATTAAAATTTTCAGGAAAATTGGCATATAAGGAGCATAACTCAGTGTAATAACAGACATCTATGACAAACCCAGGACTAACATAATACTGAATGGGGAAAAGCTGAATGCATTTTCTCTGAGAACTGGAACAAGACAAGGATGCCCACTCTCACCACCCCTCTGCCACATAGTACTAGCCAGAGCAATCAGATAAGAGAAAGAAAGAAACAGCATCCACGTTGGTAAAGAAAAGGTCAAACTGTCTGTTTGCTGATGATATGACTGTTTACCTAGAAAACCCTAAAGACTCCTCCAGAAAGCTCCTAGAACTGATTAAAGAATTCAGCAAAGTTTCCAGATACAAAATTAATGTACACAAATCAGTAGCTCTTCTATATACCAACAGCAAACAAGCTGAGAATCAAATCAAGAACTCAACCCTTTTTACAACAGCTGCAAAAATAAAATACTTAGGAATATACCTAACCAAGGAGGTGAAAGACCTCTACAAAGAAAACTACAAAACACTGCTGAAAAACATCATAGATGACAGGAACAAATGGAAACACATGCCATGCTCATGAATGGGTAGAATCAATATTGTAAAAATGACCATACTGCCAAAAGCAATCTACAAATTCAACTCAATTTCCATCGAAATACTGCTATCATTCTTCACAGAATTAAAAAATAATAATAATTCTAAAATGCACATGGAACCAAAAAAGAGCCCACATAGCCAAAGCAAGACAAAGAAAAAAGAACAAATCTGGAGGCATCAATTACCTGATTTCTAACTATACTATAAGGCTATGGTTACCAAAATGGCATGGTACTAGTATAAAAATAGGCACATAGACCAATGGAACAGAATAGAGAACCCAGGAATAAACCATCATACTTAAAACCAACTGATCTTCAACAAAGCAAACAAAAACATAAAGTGGGGAAAGGAAACCCTATTTAACACATGGTGCTAGAATAATTGGTAAGCCCATGTAGGAGAATAGAACTGGATCCTCATCTCTCACCTTACACAAAAATAAATTCAAGATGGATCAAGGACTTAAATCTAAAACCTGAAACTGTAGAAATTCTAGAAGATAATATTGGAAAACCCCTTCTAGACACTGGCCTAGGCAAGGATTTCATGATGGGGAACCCAAAATCAAACACAATAAAAACAAAGATAAATAGCTGGGGCTTAATTAAACTAAAAAGCTTTTGCATGACAAAAGGAACAGTTAGCAGAGTAAACAGACAAGCCACAGAGTGGGAGAAAATCTTCACAATCTGTACATCTGACAGAGGACTAATATCCAGAATCTACAATGAACTCAAACAAATTATCAAGAAAAAAAATCCCATCAAAAGTGGGCTAAGGACATGAATAGGCAATTCTCAAAAGAAGATATACAAATGGCCAAGAAACATGAAAAAATGCTCAACATCACTAATGATCTGGGAAATGCAAATCAAAACCACAATGTGATACCACCCTACTCCTGCAAGAATGGCCATAATCAAAAAATCAAAAAACAATAGATATTGGCATGTATGCAGTGAACAGGGAACACTTCTACACTGCTGGTGGGAATGTAAACTAATACAACCAGTATGGAAAACAGTGTGGAGATTCCTTAAAGAACTAAAAGTAGAACTACCATTTGATCCAGCAGTCCCACTACTAGGATCTACCCAGAGGAAAAGGTCATCATACAAAAAAGATACTTGTACACACATGTTTATAACAGCACAATTTGCAACTGCAAAATCATGGAACCAACCTAAATGCCAATCAGTCAATGAGTAGATAAGAAACTATTATATATATATACACAATGGAATACTATTCAGCCATAAAAAGGAATGAATTAATGGCATTTGCAGCAACCTGAATGAGACTGGAGACTATTATTCTAAGTAAAGTAACTCAGAAATAGAAAACCAAACATCATATGTTTTCATTTATATATGGGAGCTAAACTATGAGGGTGCAAAGGCACAAAAAAGACACAGTGAACTTTGGGGTCTCAAGGCAAAAAGGTGGGAAGAGGGTGAATGATAAAAGACCACAAATTGGGTTCAGTGTATACTGCTCAGGTGATGGGTGCACCAAAATCTCACAAATCACCACAAAAAAAACTTACTCATGTAACCTAACACCACATGTTCCCCAAACAATTAAATTAAAATAATTAATTTTAAAAAAGAATATACTAGATTTATAATTAACCAGATACCTGTGTGGCATAGTTGTCATGTATACAGTTCAGAAATGTACATACATAAAGAACAATGATAATTTTATTGGCATTGTTTTTAGTGTACACTCTATTATACAGTACCTTGTCCCCTTTGATTGACAGGCCTTGTAGTCCCTGTGGGCCACTTGGTCCTTCAGAACCTTTTTCACCCTGAAAGTACAAGAGAGGTATATTAGTGCACCAACCAAAACCAAGATTTTAAAAGAGTTTACATTACAAACATTATGAATTGTGCTTCAAAATTATTTTTTAAATCAAGCATCCAAAGTCACTGTTTACTACAAATGGGTAATTCTAATTGACTCTGAGATTTACAACTTGAAAAGATACATTAGTCATAACACTTAAACAAGAAGGACTCTATCCAAGCAAAACACATATGTAGCATCCCTGAAGTTAGAAAAGAGCTCAGTTCTGAATTTAAACAAAAATATTCTGGAAATGGAGCACCTAATCAATTATATAGTATAACTAGCTGGATCAAGCCTCCTTTTCCTTAATATTGCTGAAACTGGGTCCATCACACAAGGAAAATTTATTTATCATACTAATATGTAAACTAATACTTGCTAGAATTAAGCTTTTTGTCTGTGTTTATAAACATTCGTTGTAAATTTATGTTTAAAAGAATTCATGGAAAATCTTCTTGGATATGCTTATACAGTTAATGGCCTAAGTGAATATCTCCACCCTTAATATAATGTATATGAAGTCAAAAACTTTCATGTGCTTTTATGTAAAATAAACCATATAATCAATTAGTAGTATTCATTTAATAAATTTATTAGAACCAAGGATAAAGTCAAAGAACATTTACAAATTAGACGCAAATAGCACATACAGAGAACACCCATTTGTCTGACTGGTTGGGGAATGAAATATTCTGACTAATGGGTTCTTCTGATTATCTCCACAAAATGTAACTGTATATATTTGACCATAAAACAGCACAGAACATGATGTGTTCTTTCTTTGATGGGATAGAGGTCAATCCCCATAGGCTATTACAAGAGTATCAATTTATCATATTTTATATAATATAAAAGTATGTTGAACCTGTCACTAGGACATACCCTGAAATATTTTTAATGTTTCATATATTCACTTCTCATTTATTTCTTTCTCTTTAAAAAACACAGATTTCAAAGAGAAATAATTCTATTTGAATTTTTCAGATTATTTGGGCTACACATAAATAGAAATAGAAATTTACTAAGTGTAAAAAAATTTCAAGAAATTGTGTATTATAAAACTTTCTGTGATATCGTGCCAAGTTGCTGACCTGTATTCTGATAGTGATACTATGATTAGTCAATGGTGTTATTAATATCCCTTTATCCCACATATTTCCATTATCACGATAAATTAAAATGTGTTCGTTAAAAAGGATCTCTTTTAAAATTTAACCCAGCAGTCACTCACAATTAAGGATGAATTATTTGTTTTTATGTAATTGTTTTCCCTCTAGTTAAGATTTAGTCTTCTCATAGGTAATTGAATATTGATCATGGTGGAAGAAGCTGAGAATGAAATGCCCTTTTAGAGGATGAGGCCATACTGAGAAGGTCAGATCTTAGTAATTTGATGGAATGACTGATGTGGAGGTTCTCAGGCACTTAGAAAGCAGCATGTACTTCTCTGGGCAGTATGTGTGTATATGTATGCGTGTGTTTTGGGGAAAGGCTTTGGAAATAAAGAAAGAAGGACTCCAAATGTATCTTTACATACTCTGAAATGTTGTTGATGCTGCTCAAAGTATTCTGGAAAACTGTTTTTAACGTGGCTTTCAGCAAATGTGCCAAAGATCATAGACAAACTGCCTATATCAGGGGACAGCAAACTATAGCCTATAAGCCAGATTCAGCCCACTGCCTGTTTTTCTTTTCATAAATACAGTTTTATTGGAACAGCCACATTCATTCATTTATACATTGTTTATGGCTGCTTTCAAGCTACAACAGCAGAGTTAAGTAGTTACAGCAGATACCATATGGCTCACAAAGCCTAAAATATTTGCTATCTGCCCCTTTACAGAAAAAGTTTGCCAACACTTGATACAGAACAACTTGAGCTCCAAGAATTATATATGGGAAATGATAGGAAATTCTCAATTGCCAGGTAAAAAAAGGTCTTTCATAACATTTTGTTCCTGTGGTAAAATTTTCTTTCTTGTCATATTGAGGACAGTACTGTTATAGATTGGCTTCTTATCTGTGTTTTACAAACAAAGCTGTGAGCAAAGCATTGCCATAGCTACACTCAATGATTTAACTTCTAGGCATAAGAATGTTATTTATCACTGTGGCTTTAATGACTACAAACTACTTTAAGAGACTTTTCTAATTTCATATGTAGTAATTACATCAAGTAGAAGTCTGCCAATTACTTATTTGTAGTTGCAAATTTTACTGTACTTTCATATTACAGAGAAATTTACATATTCCTTCATTTAATAGGATGAAGATGAAGAAGAAAAATACTTAACTTCTTAATTACATGAAGTAGAAGTCTGCCAATTACTTATTTGTAGTTGCAAATTTTACCGTACTTTCACATTACAGAGAAATTTACATATTCCTTCATTTAATAGGATGAAGATGAAGATGAAAAATACTTAAGTTCTAAAAATTAGCTAGGATCCATTTTTAAAATTTGTAATTAATGAGCATGCAAGACAAAGCACCTTTTCCTGGTACAGAAGGTATTGTTACCTTTGGTCCTGGAAATCCTTCTCCAGGTAAGCCCCTCTCTCCTGGTACTCCCTCAGGACCACGGGGACCCTGGTTAGGATAGGAGAAAATTAGGAGCAGGAGAAGAGAGAAAATGGAAAGAGGAGTGATGAAAGGAAGGAAACAGAAGAGAAAGAATGGTGATATTTCAGTTCACATGCCAAAAAAAAAAAGTTGGCTCTGTGCTAAACATGTACAGACTTTTTTCCTTTATCAGTTCCTAAATACTACAGTATAATAACTATTTACACAGCATTTACATTGTATTAGGTATTATAAATAATCTAGAGATTATTTAAAGTATATCTCAGATGTGCATAGGTTTTATGCAAATACCAGGCCATTTTATACAAGGGGCTTGAGTATCTGTAGATTTTTATATCCACAGATGTCCTGAAACAAATCCCCCATGAATACCAACAAATGATTAATGACTGTAGCTCTATTTAAGGTTTTAGTGAGAATCCTTCTAGTAAATTCCATACTGCTCAGTAGAATTGTAGGGCTATGAAGAATAATATTCCCATTGTATTAAATACTGGTTCCATTTGATTGGCATAAAATGTTCTATTCCAGTGTTCTCAAAGTAGAAGAAAATGGAAATTGAATGGTGCTTTGAAATGAGAATTAAAAAATAAATTATCTGAGGAAAGGCTAAAAATCTAGAATTATCTGTGGCCCAGAGAAAGATGCAGAGTGATTTGATAATTTAATTATCAGGGGAGCACTGTGAAGAAATCATCACAGCTGTTTTAAAGCATTAAGTACTGTTTACATGTGTTTTAATTTCTGTACTGATAAATTTGGATGAAAACTTGAATTATTTCAGGAACTGGTTGAACCCACAGGCAGTTTTATGTGCAAATTGAAATCTTAATAGCATCATTAAGGGGAAACATGATTTTCAATTGCAATGATTCAAATTAAGAAGTTCATGTAACTATTGCTCAGAAAGCCACTAGGAAAGATGGCTTCTCACATGAGTTAAGAAAAACACAGTCTCAAGTGTTGAAATGGACTTGCAGAAAATGTACTAATAAAAAAGAGAGTAATAGTGAGATTTTCATTTATATTAGAAATTTTTAAAGGTGGTAATTTTTCTCTCCTTTTCTTCTTGGCCAGAAGGCAAAAAAATAGTAAAGGAACTTAAAACAAGGATCTTAGAAGAAAAAACTGAAAACTTTTCTCTGATGAATCTAAACAGATAATTAGGCTTCACTTGCCAGATAGATAAACTATGAAGAAACAAAGTCTGCCAAGTTTTCCACAATTTCCTAAATGAGCACACTACAGAAACTGAATGATCTTTGAGCTTGAGATACAGTAATCCAGGGTGATTTAAGGCATGCTTTCTGCTTAAGCCCGGTAGCAGATCAAGGATGCAGCATTATACTCATCAGTAACTGATCATACTTATCAATTCATAAGAAAACGATCTGTTTTTCAGTGTTTTTGTCTTTCCCTAATGTTTTATATTTTACAGGACAATCTTCTTTAGTATTGATGTATACTGATTAGCAAAGACTTCAATTAAAAGAAAAAGCTAACATCAAATTCAATTTAAATTGCAACAGTTATCAGAAACCTAGCTTTTAAACTTCTAAGATCTTAATGAAAGCACTAATATCCATGACAGTTTATTGGCAGAGCAATTAGCTAGTAGAAAATTAAATAGGAGCATGAAAATTATTAATAGATTGCAAACTAAACCAAAAGTGCCAAGCCAACATCATATACTTTAACTAAGAAAACACATACTTTAACAAAGAAAACACTGACAAATTATTCTTTTTCCCTAATAATATGACAAATTGAAAAAAACACATACAATTTACATTAAATGTAAGGGAGTATTTTTCCAGTTCACTCAACTTGTTTCATTCATCCAGCAAAGATATACCAAACTCCTATTAGGAGAAAGGCTCTGTGCTATGTTCTAGGGACGGCAGACAAAACTGCTCCTTGTCTTGTGGAGCTGACAGTATTGCATCATAGTTAAAACCAGATTTTGGTGTCATTTGGACTGAGGTTCAGTCACAGCTCTGCTACATATTAGTAGTTTCACCTTAAACAAGTAATTCAATCTCTGTAGAGCGCAGCATCCTCCTCAAAATGCTCATAATAATAGTATCTACCTCAACCACAAGTGTTCATGTAAGGATTAAGCCAGAGAGATTTAAAGCTTTTACAGATTAAGCACTCAATAGATATCTGCTATTATTATCCAAATTATTTTACTTGAGTTCTATAATTGCTGAGAGTGTCCTTTCATGGAAGTTTGTACAAATGAAGGCAGTCTCAGCATGAATGATTTAAATTAAATAATGTGTAAAAAGCATGCTGCACAGAATTAACACTGAATCTTCCCTCATTCTCTGCATTTCTAAAGTACATTAGCTTAGGTGGAAGTGAAAATATTGGAAGCTTTAAGAAGACAGGTATTCAAAGCTGCTAAGAACAGAGTTAACACTCATGAACAATCATTTAGGGGAATTTAAAAAACAGTGATCCAAAGTGTAATTACTATAAACTCTCAGAGTAATATTCTACACCATCAGTATATCCTCAAGTCTTCCAGTTAAACACTTAGAATGGAAAATGATCATTAACCAGAGAAAAGAAATAGAAGGTACTTGGGTTAAATGAGCTATACTTTAATTTATTAAGATAGTACCAAAGGATTATTTTTAAAAAACAAAAATCCTTCTATTAAAAAAAAAAAAAAAAAAAAAAAAAAAACCTCAGTGTCCTTTCTAAGTCCATAAGAACCAATTACAACTACGACATACTTACTTGGCTTCTAATGAACACCTCTAACAAAAAATAAATAATGAAGGCATCTCATTATTAGTTAACACAGCCTGATGAGTGAAATGCTTTATCTGAGACATTAACAAAGAGATAAAACATGATTATCCATTACGCTCATCTTATTACTTTCAATAATAATCTCAATAGTGTTAATAATCAATAAAAATGCTTTCAATATACACTGTAAGCATTAGAGATAAATATGCTAATAATAATAGTTAACTGTCCATTATCTTCAAACAGTGCCATATACTTTATTTTTTTAACCTCCAAGTAATTATAGTTCTCTTCCAGGGTTTTTTGTTTTTTTTTTTACAGTGCTCTGAATAATCTTGCATTAAAAAAAGAAAGATCACACTGATGGTCTTAACCAATTTAATTTTTATGAATCAGTTACATCTACCAGGCCAGCACAAAATTAGTGGTAATCACATAAAGATGACAGATGACAGTTCAAAAGTAGGTCTTGGAGCTATAATATTAATTCAATCTATCAGCAGATTTATATTAGTGTGGTGATGAAAAGAGAGTAGTACTAAATATGAAACACTTGAAATAATTCAGACAAAGAAACAAAAGTAAAAGATTTTCAGTAGAACTTTTGTCATTCCTAAGGTAAGTATTTATGTTACTTATAAATAATTCAAAAAGTCACATTGTTGATTTTTTTATAATGACATTTTGGTGCAATGTTTTGATACATTATTTAGGATCTTTCCCACCTTTGTTATGATTTTAGTTTCCAATTAAATGTAACTCTGTGTAATTGTGGCTTGGAAAGCAAGCAAGCATTTCATGTTCTGGCAATATTGTTAAAAACACTCAACTACAAACAGTTAGACAGGTAATATAAATTTTCCTTTAAAATGAATTTTAAAGGCATGGAAGAGTCCAAAGAAGATGAGAGATTACAGGCTTCAAAATGAGAGTCAAAACTCGAAAGCTCAAGCACATAAGGTAAGCATTGTAGGTAGGCATCTAAGCTGGTGCTACAACTGTTTTGAATAGAAAAAGGTGTTTGTGTGGTGGGAAGAAGACTACGAAATTTAGAAGGCGGAACAGTAGCAAAGACTTTGGCTCACCCAGTGGAAAATGAAAACACAATTATAACTGAAAAACTGAGATTTCCACAAACTTATAGAGATGGTCCCCAACTTAAGATGAGATGGGGCCAGGTGTGGTGGCTCATGCCTGTAATCCCAGCACTTTCGGAGGCCAAGGCAGGAGGATCACAAGGTCAGGAGATCAAGACCATCCTGGCTAACACGGTGAAACTCCATCTCTACTAGAAATACAAAAAATTAGCCGGGTGTGGTGGCATGTGCCTGTAGTCCCAGCTACTCAGGAGGCTGATGCAGAACTGCCTGAACCCGGGAGGCAGAGGTTGCAATGAGCCGAGATCATGCCACAGTACTCCAGCCTGGGCAAGAGAGCAAGACTCCATCTCAAAAAAAAAAAAAAAACAAGAGAGAGAAATGGGATGGTTTGACTTATGATTTTTTGACTTTACAATGGATTTGTCAGCATGTAACCCCCATGGTAAGTAGTCAAGGAGCTCCTTATGATTTATAATAGGCTTATGGTTTCTACTGAATGCATTGTGTTTGCATCCTCATAAAGTAAAAAATATATATAAATCAAACCATTGTAAGTTGGGGACCATCTTCTGTGTTATTAACACTAAATCCATTTTCATCTTACAATATTATTTATTTATGATAGATATAGTAGGATGCAACCCCATTGTAAGTCAAGGAGCATCTGTATATATTAAATGAAAGGACAAAGCAGAAAAAAGCCATCTCATTGACACAATGATAGGAATGACAAGAATTTTGTCTGCTTGGCTTGGGTTCGTAATGACTAAAAATTTCTAACCCTGCCTGTGCTATGTATGAGATTATTATTTCAACTGACATCATCTAAGTGGTTCATGAACACCTTAATTAAGACATTAGCATCAACGAAACCCTTGGAGTACATAAGAGATACAAACACAAACTCCTCCAAACACCCTCCATGCAGAGCACTTAGGATTCACAATTAAAGCCCAGCTGAAAATAATTCAGATGTTAAAGTATAAAACATTAAAAAAAGTTTATAATGAACAAAAGTGAGCTAACACAATGTAAACTTCCTCAAGAATGTCAAACAATAGAATAAAATAATGGAGAGAAAAAATAAGTACTTTAAATGCTTAATGGTCTTAAGGAAATAATGGAAAAACACAAGAAAAGTAT